TCTCCCTTGAAGATTCGAGCCTACCACCACGAGAACGCTTAACCTATAGACCAACTGGGCTGGAATCCAACAGTGTGAATGTCTAGCTTATCATTCCCTTACTAGTTACTAAATTCGAGAGGAAATTCCCGAAGTACTAGTGAGAAGCCGTGGCCAGTGAAATTTAACCGTATCAGGTCAGTCACACCTCGAACACAATGGAAGATAGTCGCCCGATATCGTAAATTGATTGAGCCTAGACATTAACACAGTTGGATACTGGCTCAGTTGGTCCAGGCGTTAAGCGTTCGCACGCGAGACCAAAGTTGCTGGGTCCGATTCTCTTGTGAAAGGTCTTGGATAAGCACTGCTGAAGTCCCATACTACGACAAAACAGCCGTCCAGTGCTTCATGGTTTTCACTAGTGGTCCAACATTGACCGGCTCATGATTTCAGTAAAATTCAACAATCTCCACAACCCTATGCTGACATATATACACAGAGTTCAGGTTTGAAAAGATAGTTTGCTAACGCCTCTGCATTTCATAAGTTACCATTTTGCGCTCCTCTTAAAATAAATCGTCTGGTTGTATAAATCGTTTCGGAGGACTTATCAGTTATGACCGTGTGACCAGAGTCCACAATGGATAAACTTGTAAAAAGTTTAACTTCCAATAATCAGATTTCTTACAAAGTAACATGTAACGATTTTTTAATTTTCAATTATACATTAATTTACAGATTGGTGAAATTTTCTCAATGGGACCACTAGATGTATGGCCAGTCAAGAAACGACATCAAATATGTAGTCAATATTTCAACCAAAGAGAAGGAGGCCTTGACGAGAAAAATACTGACAAAATAAATGATGATAAGAATATACAAAGTAATAACCTTGAATCTTCAAGATAAGTAAATTAAGACCTACAGTGTATCAATTCATACATAAGAAGAATCTACAAACACGTGAGAGTAACACTATTAAGTGGATATACCGGAACAATTACAAAATAACTACAAAGGCAACTACTTCGTTCATATTTCAAACATATTTATCATGTTGATTTATGTACATGTCGCTTACAAATCCGATATTCATAACCCTGAACCCAGGATATTTTAGCAAATTCTGCAAACAAAATATTATATGAACAACTGGCTTGAACTAATTATTTGTTCTCCTAACCATAATGACAATAAATTATACGTCTCAATGCACATTTATTATTTTTCCCAACACGATAACTATTAAGTGACATTATTAGACGGTTAGCGTCCGGCCTGAAACATGAAGGACGCAATAAAGACAATCAACAAGAAACTAGAGAAATGAAGAGAATATGAAATGTGGAATGGAAAAGTACAGAATAAATAATATGTACTGTCGACAAAAATAAGTAAGCCGACTTACCGTGACTTTGTCACAGTACGGATAAACAGTGAAAGATATTATTATTATTGATGACAACGCCATCAAAAATAGGGATGTAGTCATTATGAAAGCAAAAAACCCGGCAGTAATTAAACCTATGAATTAGTACTGTCTTGATTAAGCCATATTCAACCTTTCCCAAACTATTTACTGATCAACAAATATCCTAACTTATTGTTATCAATCTTTCACAACAAATGCTCTGAAGATAAGCACGCTGAATTCATATAACCCTTTCTGTTATTTGTAGGATAGGAAATGTGTTTGTTAAAAGAAGACAAATAACGTATACGTCTGTACCATGCAAATTTCAACTACCTCCTGTAAGAAGTGTAGATTTACGTGAGTTACTTAATACAGCTACCTCATAATTCCCTATTTAGTAACGACCAATCATAACTGCATACAGATCCAACATCTGACCAAAACAAAGCTACAATCTCTCCCTTATTTCAAGCAAAATTTCGTGCACGAATAGACAATGAGTGACCATAATGAACATAAATCTCGATCGGCCTAACTTATATATTTTCAATGAATCATCCTAATATCCAAGGAAGAAGTTCAGAATCCTTACGTATGAGCTGTATAAAAACTGACTATAGTGACTTCTGATGTTTCTGTTACATACTGCATCCATAAAATAAGGTGGACAGTATTGGAAACGATGTGTTCTAGGACTAAACAATTAAGAAAACTTTTAATTAATTAACATTCCAAATGTTTCTACTCGCCATCACATTCATATCTTACTGAATAAATTAGTTCAGGTTATAGCAAATAGAGATAACAAATATTCTGGACTTTCACCCATAATTCTTGTTGACTATTTCCATGAGAATAAATATAAAGCAAGACTACAACTAAATGATTAGGTACAATGATCTAACAGCTAACCGGAACCAAATAACTACCACTCATCTATGTTCACTTTATATATTTATTTATTTAAACACATAAATATTGGTACAAGGAAGCACCAGATATATATGCGCCTCACAAATCTCATTCGATTTGTGTGAGGGCTGTGATACTGCCCAGGTGCCCAAACCTCTATTTCTCGGCGTAATGTGTTCTTTGGTCTCCCTCTTCTCATTTGACCTTCAGGATTCCATGTGAGGGCTTGTCTTGTGACACAGTTGAGTGATTTCCTCAAAGTGTGCCCAATCCACTTCCAGCGCTTCTTCCTCTGCTGGAATCTGGTTTGTTGTCTCCCACAGTAACTTGTTGCTGATAGTGTCTGGCCATCGGATACGAAGCATCTTGCGTAGACAACTGTTAATAAACACTTGTATCTTCTGGATAACGGCTTTCGTAGTTTTCCACATCTCCGCCCCATACAGTAGAACTGTCTTCACATTTGTATTGAAAATTCTAACCTTGGTGTTGGTTGACAATTGTTTTGAGCTCCAGATGTTTTTCAGTTGTAGGCATGCTGCTCTTCCTTTGCCGATCCTCGCCCTCACATCTGCATCCGATCCACCGTGTTCATCAATGATGCTGCCTAGATATGTAAAGGTTTCCAAATCCTCCAAAGCTTCTCCGTCAAGTGTAATTTGATAGTTAAGATCATGAGTCAATTGAAGCTAGACCACCGTGGAAAACCTGGAAGCACTGGACGGCCGTTTCGTCCTATTATGGGACTCCTCAGCAGTGCGCATCCACGAACCCGCTCTCGCGAGATTCGAACCCAGGACCAACCAGTCTCGAGCCAGAACCCTTAACCGATAGACCACTGAGCTGGCATCCAACGATGTTAATGTCTAACCTCAACCAATTTGATTGGTGCATGTTGTATTGTATCGGAGAGTCTTGCTTTTCCCTTTGTTTATATTGAGACCTACTGCTGCTGAGGCTGCCGCTACACTGGTCGTTTTCTCCTGCATTTGTTGCTGCGTTTGTGATAAAAGAGCCAGATCATCTGCGAAGTCTAAACCGTCAAGCTGCATCCTGCCTGTCCACTGTATCCCGTGATCTCCTCCAGATGTTGGCGCCTTCATGATCCAGGCGATCACCAGGAGAAAGAGGAAGGGTGAGAGTAAGCAACCTTGACTAGCACCGGTCTTTACTTCAAACGAGTCGGTGAGTTGTCCTCCGTGGACGATTTGGCAGTTTAGTCCATCATAGGAGTTCCGTATGATATTGACTATCTTCTCAGGTACGCCGTAGAGGCCTCCATAGTGTTGCACTGTCAGCGCCTTCAAAATGCATTGATGTAGAGTGATGAATTCCATTCGATTGATTGTTCCACAATGATACGTAGAGTTGCGATTTGATCTGTGCACGATCTATCCTTACGAAATCCAGCTTGTTGATATCGAAGTTGGGCGTCTACGGAATCCTTCATCCTGTTTAATAATACTCTGTTGAAGACTTTTCCTGGTATTGAGAGAAGAGTGATGCCTCTGTAGTTGTCGCACTTGCTGTGATCGCCTTTCTTTGGTACCTTGATCAGAAGTCCTTTTTTCCAGTCTATTGGTACTTGTTCTTCATCCCAAATCTTACTGAAGAGGATGTGGAGTATCTTGGCAGTTGCTGCTACATTTGCTTTCAGTGCCTCTGCCGGGATGTTGTCTGGTCCCGCTGCCTTGCTGCTCTTGATTTGTCTAATGACCATGCTGATCACTTCAATTGTTGGTGGGCAAACATTGATTGAGAGGTCCGTGGATGCTGCTTCGATGTTGGGTGGGTCCAGTGGAGCTGGTCGATTCAAGAGTTCTTTGAAGTGTTCTACCCACCTGTTTCGTTGTTCTTCAATGTTGGTGATTACTTTGCCTTCCTTGCTTTTCACTGGTCTTTCTGGCTTACGGTAATTTCCAGCGAGTTTCTTTGTTGTATCATACAATTGTTCCATGTTTCCTAATCTTGCAGCCTTTTCCGCTGTAATTGTTAAATCTTCCACACATTTACTTTTGTCGGTGCTGATGCTCCTCTTTACTTGTTTGTTTGCCTCTGCGTATTCGGCTTGTGTCTTGGCTTTTTCCGCTCTGGTTCGGCTGATATTTATTGCTGCCTTCTTGTTCCTCCTTTCTTCAATTTTATCCAGTGTACCAACAGGGATCCATTCTTTGTGATGGTGCTTCTTTTGGCCCAGAACCTCTTGACATGTTGAGACGATTGCCTCCTTGATACCTTTCCAGTTGCTCTCCATGGTAGTCCCCTCTCCATTGAGTAGATCATGAAAGGTCTGGAACTTATTGCTGAGGTCTATTTTGAATCTGTTGAGTTTGTCAGCATCTCGAAGAAAGGCCGTATTAAACTTTTGTGATGTTGTCCGCGCTGTTGTCCAGTGCTTCTTGAGTTTTAGTTTCATCTTGGCGACCAGCAAATGATGATCGGATGCTATGTCAGCTACTCTTCTGGTTCTCACATCCTCCATCGTCCCCCTGAACTTTTTGTTGATGCAGATATGGTCGATTTGATTCTGTGTAGTGTGATCCGGTGAAATCCAAGTAGCTTTGTGTATGTCTTTGTGTGGGTCTATTTTGAATCTGTTGAGTTTGTCAGCATCTCGAAGAAAGGCCGTATTAAACTTTTGTGATGTTGTCCGCGCTGTTGTCCAGTGCTTCTTGAGTTTTAGTTTCATCTTGGCGACCAGCAAATGATGATCGGATGCTATGTCAGCTCCTCTTCTGGTTCTCACATCCTCCATCGTCCCCCTGAACTTTTTGTTGATGCAGATATGGTCGATTTGATTCTGTGTAGTGTGATCCGGTGAAATCCAAGTGGCTTTGTGTATGTCTTTGTGTGGGAATATGGTGCCACCTATGACCAGTTTATTGAAGGCACATAGGTTTGCAAATCTCTCACCATTTTCGTTCCTTTCTCCCAGTCCATGTTGTCCCATGACGTCTTCGTATCCAGTGTTGTCCATTCCAACCTTAGCATTGAGATCTCCCATCAGAATGGTCAGGTCCTTGGTTGGGCACTTCTCGAAGATCGACTGCAGCCTATCGTAGAATTGGTCTTTAGTGTCTTCATCGTAGTCGTTGGTAGGCGCATAGCATTGGATGACGTTCATTGTAATGCCCTATCTCTTTGTTTTGAAGGAGGCTTTGATGATCCTTGGTCCATGAGATTCCCATACTATAAGTGCATTTTGTGCTTTTCTGGACAGCATCAATGCAACTCCTTGTGTATGTGGGGCATTTTCTTCTTCATGACCGGAGTATAACAGAAGTTCTCCTGAGGACAGTCGTTGTTGTCCAACCTGCGTCCAATGTGTTTCACTGATTCCAAGCAGCTCCAGGTTGTATTTTCTCATTTCTGCAGCAATTTGGAAGACTCTTCCGGTCTCCCACATTGTTCGGACATTCCATTTACCTATAAAAATTGTCGCTCTGGTTGTAAGAAGGTGCATCGGCCTCATAACTTCCGAAGGAACTCGGCTTTCATCATGAGATGTCATAATTATTCTTTCTACTCCCAGGGCAGAGTTTAAATGGTTTGAGTCCGTGGACATCGTTGCACTTACTTAGAATATATTAGACTTTTCTGATAGTATAACTAAGTAATATATTCTTTTTAAAAATACTAGATGTTGCTAGGAAAAAAATCAAGTGAACACAGTTGAATTCTAACTAAGGAGTAAACTTCTACAAACGATACGATTTGATTCAGTACACATACAAAATCACAAGTTTAACGTAGACTTTCGAGATACTGCCAGAATCAGTCGTACAATCAATAGCATTCGTAGTTAGATCAATCATTAACGTTTGCCCATTATGTTCTTCAAAAAATACCATACAATCGGTGAAACTTGAAGAGCAATGGGCGCACTTCAGGATTGGACTTTTTCAATCTATTTCTCAAAATCTAGACTAAGTGTTCAGTGTATTATTATTCACCTTAATAAAGCATCTTAACATTATCACACTACACAATACCTTCAATTACTTCATCATGAAAATATAACAATTTAGTTGACTTAATTATATCATAGATGGAGCTGGTGGAGTCTGATAATTGAATGAAGTATCTCACAAACGACAGACTGACACAACAAACATACACAAGTTTGATGGAAATACCATGTAAGGACGACGGTAGAAACTAATCATTAAGTTTATGGCATCTTTGGATTTGCATCCCATACAAATAAAAAGTGAATCTTTCTACTTTTAATACGGATTATTTTGAACTACTGACAATCAATGAAGTAGTGTATCACTGTGAATTCGTTATTATACATTGTTTACAATATATACAGCATATCGCAACGAGTAACTGCATATCAAAGACCACTCTGAAAAACACTAACGAAGAATAACAAATCAATATAAAACCGTTGAAACATGGGAAAATATATTTGAGATAGTAGCTAGTTGACACAAAGGTACAAGAGCAAAAGCACACTTATTGACCAATATTACCCAACTATTCTCTCGGTCTTTTTGCTTCCGGTTCTCCATCATTATCAGGTGTCGGGGGGGGGAGTGGTGGTGGTGGGATGGGTGGATGTGGAGGCATGAAACCCGGCATAGCTATGCCGGGTGGAGGTGGCACCCCGGGTGGAAACAGACCTGGTGGTAATGGCGGCGGCGCACTGGAAAGCATTACAAGACCAGGAGGAGGTGGGGGCGGTGGAGGTTGTGTAACTCCACCTTGTATTGATGGTGGTGGCAACAATATTGTCGGCTTATGAAGTACCGAAGGAATAATGCCCAGAGCAGGGAGCACTCCACTTTGAGGACCAATTTTATCGCGAGCAGAATCCAATTTCTGTTGAAACTCTAATAAATTCAGATTATCTTTAACAGTAACCGCTTCTAAGTTTCTTTTGGCAACAACATCTGTAGTAGCAGAGTAACCATCCCAAATTAATTTATCAGACTTGACTATTTCTTGTTCTCCTAATTTCTTGCCAATCTGAATTTCATCAACTCCTACACCGAAAATGTCTGTACGACGCTCAGCAAGCTGCTTCAAGCTACTATCAATCAGATTTCCCGCAGCATAAACTTGTTCTTGGTCACGTTTCTCGCGAACCTCTCGATCACGCTGTTCAACCCACTTAGGATCGAGTAGCCCAACCTTAATATGTTTCGGAGCTTGGTTGGCAGGAATCTTCTCGCCAGTGAAAGGTGATACTAAAAGCACAGAATCCTCTGCTCTTCTAATACTTGTAGCTTTTGGATCGTAGTCATGTCGAATAATGACTTGATCAGAAGACAATGGTACCTGTTTTGTTGATAATTTTGTTTGTTGAACCGGTTCTTCGGCAATATTCTCATCATCTGATAACTCCATATCATCTTCTCCAGCTATACCAGTCATATTAGTAACAGGTGGCGTTGGGATATCATCACTAACCAGCTTTTCTGTTTCATCGGGATATGGAAGAGGGCTATGATTGACCAGATCTCGGCCTTTAGGTTGAGAAAATCCAGAAGCTTCATTTTCATCATCTGATTCATCTAATTCCTGATCACTTGTATCATCATCTATATCAGTTGGCATTAATCCAAGTGAACCGGGGGGTGGAGGGGCTGAGGGCTTCAAAGGAGGCTGAAGACCACGTTCTTCGGCCAGTAAGCGTGCTCCAACTTCATCAGGAGTAGTCGGTAGAGGGAAATTGCCTGCTTCGCTTGGTTGAAAGTCAACTGTTTCAACAACCACGAAGTCGTGCCAATCAATCATTGCGTACGCCACACGTTCACGTTCTGCAGCCTCCTCTTCACGCTTACGTTGACGTTCTTGATACTTATGCCATTCAACCCTATATTTTACGTCGTCAAGCAGTTGTTTCGGTTTCTCTAACTCGTCCTCCAATTTCGAAATAACATTTTTAGGTGGTATCAAGATTTTAGTGTACTGTTCCACAAGTTTTGTAAAATAACCAAACATACTGTGCTGAGCACGGAGGAAGTCAAACTGATAATTCCTCTGTTCTCGACTCATTAACTGAGTTAAAAATTGTCGACCGTTTCTTGCAACAAATTGTGCTGTAAGTTTTATTATGTCAATATCAACTGCATTAATAGAAGGTGGATCGTAAACAAATTCAAATTCGGCTGGTGGATCCTTCGGAGTAAATGTTTCCTGAATTGATTTTGGAGTATCTTGAGCAAGACGAGCAGCACTAGGAATAGTTAATTTTAGAGCAGCAGGTTCTGGTGTTCTCCCTTCAGCAAACTCTCGAACCTTGTGTTGATAATATGCGTGGTATGGATCAGCCGGATTCAGAAAATTGAACTTTGGATTACTGATTTCATTTTGACGAATACGAGATTCAAAGTCTGGACCATTACGTGCTACAAAACTGGCCGTTTTATCGACGATATTCCTTACTTCAGGTGGAGGATATATTATACCAATTTTAGGTTGGATAGGTTTATCACCCTGTTGTTCTTCGACAGATGACATCTATAAAATTGAAATGCAGTGTTAAATTAGGCAATTTATTTAAACATTATGCACAAATATAAATTTCTCAGTTGTCAGACCATTTAGATAACGAAACTAAAAATAAGATCTGCTAACAAGCATAAACTGACTTGACATCATACCAACAACTAACTAGTATAATACAGGGTAATTCGCCCAACGAATTCCTACAGGATGTATTTTAGATACCAAGAAAATAAACTAAAACCTAAGGGAAATGGATAGCAATTCCTAGTCATCCCCTTACCTCAATAAAAACTAGGCTTTTGGCTTAGTAAAAAACAAGAAGAAATGTAGGCAGAACCATCGACAAAACGCAATGCAAGGAGAGAGATGCAACAATTAGGAAATTTATTTCCAAGTTACATTAAACTATGAATCGATGTACGCAGATATGGATCAGTATCACACGGTCAGATGTCAGACAATCGCCTTAGAGTGGACGATACACTTCCAGCCAGCGATGACTTGAACAGTACCAAGTGAGGTAACCATTAAGTGATGTTTCTTTGTATATGCACCGGTAACAAAAATAATAATTTGATAGGTGTCATGAATAAAATTAGATAATTGTTACACGATATCACAAATCGGATATATGGAAATCTGAACTCTGGCTTAGTAGTCAAGAATAACGCTCTCACTGTGTGACCTGTAAGTCAAAAGTTCGAAATTATGTAGGATTATTGGCCTGTATTCCTGAAGAGCTTCAAATCATCACAGGATAGTTGTTCAGCAATCCTCGGTTTCAACAGTTTTCCCAGTCAATATTAGCCTGTGATAGTTAATATCTCAAGCTAATAAAAGGTGTATTTATGGGGCAGGAAAAGGTGTAACAACGTGGTCATTTTAGTCTCATCGGTTTCAGGAATGTAGTCTCCAATGTAGTGTTAACCGATGGTGACAACCAAGGTAAGCATTATTGGGTAGAACCTGTCTCTTGCTAAACGCATATATCGAATACATTAATACCATTTAGTGTAACTGATGACTACTCAACAGGAAAAGCAGGATCCAATATATATATATATATATATATATATATATATATATATATATATATATATATATATATATAATACTTTTTAATGACCTGCCGGATTAGTCGTCCAACATGTAAACCAAAGAAAGAGGTGGGATCTTGGTTGAATACAAGTACGCTTCGATCCCTGACCTAACTATATTGAACAATAATAATAACCCACCCGAATGCTAAAGCTTATGAAACTAGGAATCTTGGGATGAGAAACTATGGGGATTGTTGGGTTTTTTCATGCCTTATTCATCCAAAAAATAATTTAGTGAAAGCTTAGGAAACCTATGATTCCTTTTATCCGCAAACTTCAGCAGATAAAATTTCTTTCGCGTTTTTTGTCCCCAGTTTAGTGTTACGATTTTAGTCAAACATCTATATTACTCTACACTAGATTTTTTTATAAATCCTATTTAACGTAGCAAAATAGTTTGCAGGCCAAAACCAGGATACTAGTAAGCGCACACATGATTTTAGTGTGTGTGGTTATTCACTTGAACCTATATGATTAATAGAATGATTGTTTATAATCAATTTCATATGCCTAATGGAAGGTTCTGGTGAAATTGAGGTAGTAAGGTCATGTTTATATTACAGACAAATAGAAACAGGTATATCACCGTAGAAACACAAATGAACTGATCCGATTCCTAACAAGACTCAATCGAATGTTAGTTGACTTCATGCATCTGTCTTAATCTGTCTATTTTCTCGACATATAACCATTGAAATTAGTCAGTGCTAAAAAAATAATTCCAAGAATGAATGAAGGTTGATAGTATTAACCCACAAGGACCTGAAGAAGAAACAAAATGAACCAGACTTAAACATTTTGGACAGCTTACAACCAAGACGAAAAGCTGGTACTTCACGAAGATCTGATCGGCGGTTAACAACGGACTAGCTCCCAGTCAGTCAGTCAGTCACAACGTAGAACTTCGTACTTACGTACATCAGTTCGAGTTGTCATAACACATTAGCACAGAGATGCAGTTGTCGATTCAAATCCCATAGTGGTAAAAGTAGTAGGAGTATAATCAGAAATCCAAAAGATTAGGGTTTGAAGAAATTATTGAAGGAGTATAGTACAGTGAAATAAATTTGGAAAGAGAAAAAGATAAAGACATGAGGAATTCAGAAGATTAGAATTTGGTAGAACACAAAGAGTGGATACACCTTCGCCATTGCAAACGATTTTGAGCCATGTCATTCAAGGTCTCTAACCATCGGTTGCTGTCATCACGCGAATCTCAACCAGGTAGTCTACACCTACCAACACGGCCCAGTCCACTTGTCAGTGACTTCATTGATTTGTGCCACGTTTTGGTCTGACCACCCCTAGCTTTCTTCCAACCTACTCCTACACCATGAAACATTGCACGTCGGGGCAGTCGGTGGTCGGGCATACGTAACACATGTCCCAGCCATCTCAACTGATGAAGTTTCACTACTTCATCAATCGATTTGCCATCCCTACCTAGTACTCGTTTCCTAACAACTGCATTACTTACCCGGTGGTCCCAAGATATACGAGCAATGCTTCGAAGACACCTATGATCGAACACTAGTAGCCTACGAATATCCTCTACTCTTATTGGCCATGTTTCACTGCCATAAAGTAGGACGGAGCGAACTGCTGCACAGTAAACCCGTCCTTTGGTTGCTAGACGGATATTGCGCCTACGCCATAAATGACGCAAGTTGGCGAAAGCTAGACGAGCCTTCTGTATCCGTGCTGAGATTTCGTCACATACCAGACCACAAGGGCTGATGAGACTCCCAAGATAAGTGAAGTGGTCTACACGCTCAACTACTTCACTCCCTATCATTAGTTCAGGAGTCGCTGCAACCCAATCCTGAAGTAACATTTTGCACTTCGAGTCAAACTGATCCCTCTGTGATTGTCACAAGAGGACTTTTGTCCTTTCTTATAGACTGGCACAATTAGTGACTGGGACCAGTCAGATGGAATTACGTCCAGTTCCCAGATTCTACCTAAGACCTCAGTCAATCTTACTGCTGGTACTGGACCACCATCCTTAAAAATCTCAGGGGTCAACCTGTCAGGGCCTGCTGCTCTCCCTCGCTTCAGATTTCCTATAGCTTTTTCAACCTCACAGAGGGTTGGAGGACTTACATCAATTTGCCATTCAGGACGACTGGGGATCGTGGGTAATTGAAGTGTGGCTGAAGGCCAGTTGAACTGATCCCTAAAGTGTTCTGCCCATCGATCCAATCTCCTGGATTGAGAATGAATAATATGCCCATCTTTATCTGAGATGGTTTCACTGATATTCGGGTTCCTAATACCGGTTTCTTTAACGAGTCTGAATAGCTGCCTACTGTTACCTATTGCCGCTGCCTTTTCCATCTCTCTTGCTTTCGCTACCCACCACTGTTCACGATCATTACGTAGGCTTCTTATAAGCCTTCGCTTAAGTTGACTCCGCTCTTCGTTATGTTCAGAGCCAGGTGGGATGAGTTTACGAGCATCTATCAGTGCGGTAGATGCTGCCGAGATCCATTGTTTCTCCCTAACGTCATGGTTTACCTTACTAGCGGATATCACTGCTGTTTCCATAGCTTTTCGGATGTCATTCCACGCTGCCTCGGGGTGGATACAACTTACATGGCTGCCTAACTGTTTTTCTAGTTGTTTCTGAAATATATTCTTAGCTTGTCTATCATTAAGTAGAACCCTTAGAGGCTTCCCTGCAGTGTCTTTCCTACGACCAGTAAGACGCAGACAGATACGTGCTCGCACTAGAGCATGATCTGAATCTAAACATGTGCCCCAGAATGAGCGACAGTCTTCTATCGAGCCCCTCCATCGGTGGCTGATAGAGATGTGATCTAATTGGGTCCAACGTTGGGACGAATTCGGGGGTCGCCATGTCAAAAGATGTTTTTCCTTATGCTTAAAGTTAGTATTTGCAAGAAATAGGCGGTTATCTGAGCATAGCTGCAACAGACGGTCGCCATTATCTGTTCTTTTCGCCATGACACCATAAGATCCACCCAGGTGTCTTTCCCTTTCACTTAGTTTACCTACTTGAGCATTAAAGTCACCTGCTACTATTACTACATCAGAACGCCTAGCTTCTCGGAGAAGGTCAGAAAGTTTCCTGTAGAACTCATCTTTTATATCGTCTGAGCTGCAGTCAGTGGGAGAGTAGGCAGAGACGACGAAGAGGCAACGACGAGTTTCCCTATCTTTCCGGGTCCTTACTGATCCGTTTAGTCGGACAGCGCATAGACGACTGTCTACTGGGATCCAGTCTAAAAGAGCTAGTTCTGCCCTAGGACTTAATGCTATACCTACTCCAGCGAGGCCACGGGAAGCAGCATCAGGGCTTCCAGATACACGAAGCGTGTATCGAGATGAAACTTTATTTTGATTAGGTGCGGTCAAATGAATGACACTACTCGGATCTTGTATGCGCGTTTCGGAGACGCAGCACACATCGATGGTGTAAGATTCTAGAGTCCTAGCTAAGGAAGCCTGTTGTCCTATTTGGCACAATGTTCGGACATTAAAAGTTCCTACATGTAGTTTAGAGCGTGGTTTCAGGAGACCAGGAATAACGTTCTGTGTACTCGAATCGTTTGCCCTAGCGGTGCGAGGTGATAAAAGGACGTGGAAAGGGTTAGTCGTGGAGATAACAGAGTTATTAGGTGTAGGAAGAATTTGAAAGCGACCAACTTGGTCTTGTGTGCAGTTAAGGGTATGAGGGCTAGTATCACTTCCCGGCTGCCCACACCGTGGAAGGGTATTTCTTGAGGGACCTGAAAAAGAAGTTGGATTAGTATTGGTCTTAACGAGCGTGACCGCAGTGCCCAAGGGACAACTGCTTGAGGCCGGTCACGCACGGCCTTTTTGTGGGAGATTTTTGACGTGTTAGCTCCGTTCTTCAAAAGACCTTACCGCCGGAGACGGAAATCCGTGGGATAAGGCGAGGCGTGCATTTCTAGGGTCGACCTTTTCTAACCCCACCCCTACTTGTGGGAAGGCAGCATCGCTGTCATGCTGGTTGTCTGAAGGAAATACCTTACTGCTGTCACACCTCTGTACAATCAGCAGTACGACTTCGCCTTTGGACCTTGGGATTGCTGCTTTTAGTCTCACCGCTCTTCAACCGACCTGTCTGGCATGGTAGGACCTTGAGGAACGATTGTTCCAGCCAGCATAGCTCGATTGGATCATCACGATAGGCAAGCCCGACCACCACGTCAAGGTAGCAGCAACGGTCGGGAACTAGCTCCCAGAATTTTGAAGTGTATTGTAGTTTGTCTAAGACATGTTTCAGACTATGCATATAACTTAGGTAACTCCCCTCTAGTGGTATTCCAAGTTGAAAAATGCCTGGGAGTCTTGATACCCTATGATCTTGTCTTACGCTAACTGAGGCGAAACGATTTTCAAACAAACCTTGTACTGATAATACTGAAACCTATTTTTAGGCAGTTCGACTGAAGAACTTTTCACTTGATCTGTAAGTTTTATCTGATCCCATTTAGAGTATGGAAGTATAGTGTTCCCGCCCTCACTTCAAAAGGACAAAAACACTTGAATGCATATCAAAGTGAGCAACGAAACTAGTTTCGGGACTCAAGTCAAAACCTAATGGAGAGCACCTCGAACTACTGAATCTCTACCCACTGGAGTATAGGTATCTCAGAGGTGATTTAATGCCTCATAGAATCCTAAACACTTTTGGACACCACCTTAGATACTCGCTTAGGCTTAGTAACACCCAGAAATCAGACAGCATAGCAAAATGGACTTTAGTTACACCATTTACTATTTAAGAGTAGTCAAATTCTGCAATATGCTGTCAGTTGGAGTGGTCCAGAAGACTTCTCAGAAATCCCTCAAGAACCTGGACATATATGTCAAGAATGTTCCTCAAGACCCAGGACAGTAATTCACTATAATCTTATGTCTTCTTCTATAGGCTCCTACCTGAAAGTATTGGCCATCCACTGCTACTAGATACGAAAGCTCATCCAGCGAAAACGGTAAGACCTTTGAGCGACGCCTAAGTGACCTTGCGAATGTCTACTTACCAACTAGCATGAGGAATTGGAGCTAGTGTTTCCATTACGAAGCGACATCAGCTAAAATGTCAAAATTCTACTCAGCCAAATGGATGAACGAACTCCGTGCTAGAATCCAAGACATGTTGTCTTATATATGACTGGTTTGTCCATAAATTATAGTCTGCCCGTGGACGTTTTTTATACACCTACCAACATTTGGACTGCTTGAACAAAACTTAGATTGAAAACATTGTTCTTTACTTGTTCCTAATGCGTTATTTAAGTGAACTTTACAATCACAAACACTGTGTCAAACCACACACACCGACAAAATAAAGTACCAGTTGTTGCGATGATATTCAAAACAACCACGAGTGTGGTGTCCCTGCTTATTCAATCCACAATTCTTCGCTTGATAATCAGACTTTGAAATTCTTATTTGAGCAAAATAAAATTTCCATAAGTTTTTGCGTTACGTCTCCAGTTTTTATTTTAAAAACGGACACTTTTGAGATTAGGAAGATTTTGCAGAGCAACCAAAACGGAAAAATGAAGTGCATATTCTCATAAAAATAAGGAATAAATAAAGGGCGAACGTACTCAAAAACGCCTTGTTTTGTGCCAAAGGATGGTGGATAGCTAGGAATTTCACCCTTTTTGTTTTCGTGTGTTTCAATATTCCCCGATTTGTTTACCTTACACTTAACCACATGCCAGATTCCCTACTTTTGCACACGTTTAAGCAGATTCGACTGAAAATTCTATGCTCCTAAACCAAAACTTAATCAACGTTTATCTCTACTTCCACTAAAAAGCAAAATTTTGGACATAGTGGACTGTATTTAAAAGGTGATACATGACTAAAGGCATTTCATGTCAGGAATAATAACAAGGAGACGCTCATCACACATTTTTATAATGTTGGGTTTTAATTACTTCCGATACAAAATAAGCTTTGGTAATGTTCGTTAACACATGACACTGTGAAAAGAACAACAATGAAATCCTTTCTTTACAAGTTCGTAATTACATAATCTGTTCTCCTTGTACTACCAAATTTTGGTTTATCACTCATCTTGGGAATACCATGGAGTCTCCATGTCGGAAGAAACTGAGTGCATATATTGAGTCTAAGCTGATTCCTCATGTTTGGGACAAATTATTTCACTTCATGAGCTGTCAGATAATAAAATGCGAACTGACAGTATGTCCGTACGTGATAAGACAGTCTGAGGACCTTTACGTTATCATCAGTACCAAACCTCATGACTCATTTAAAGTGCTTTGAGTCGCCATTTTAATAGGTCCTTATAAATAATCTTAAGTCTCTACTTTTTCTGATATTCCGATGTTGTCCTTCTTTTCACAGTAACTAAGCTCAAAAACTGAAAAATACCGTTCTTACTACTAATCAAATTAGTTTAATTACTAATGACAATAAAACATACTGATGGAAAATTTCCAAAGTGTGCAGCTGTTTTAATCTTCCTACGATGATATTGGCATTATTAGCAATGTGACCACTAATAGCAACAGCTTCTCAGTCATGCATCGTATGTGATTTTAAGCATTATTAAAAAACGCAGTATCTGAAGTGACTTTAGTACTGAGAATTCCTGTTATTTTACTCCAGTGTGAAGATAATAACTTGTGTTTCAAACTATGGCTTAGGTAATAAAGATTCCTGTTTAGTTATACATGTAATAAACTCTGCTACGACGGAAAGTTTGACTTCTTCGAAACAGAACATGAGTGTAAATTTAGAAAATCAAAACCATCTCAACATCAAAAGGCTGTCCCAATCTAGCACATCTAGAGTTACTGCAGGTCCCAAGTCTGAGTAAAGGAGGAGGTTTGGGCATGGAGTCAACAACCCCATCCCGTAGAAAACCTTGCTAAACAAAACGCCAACCGGAATAAACAAATTAGATCATGTAAACTTTGACCTCCGAATTGAAAGAAGAATTGTGGTGAAAGCCAAGCTTCTTCGTAGCTAGTGCCCCTTCTAACAACCAGAGCAACAATTTTTATAGGTACAAGGAATGTTCGAACAATATGGGATGCCGGGAGGACCAATCAAATTGCCGTGGAAATGAGGAGATACAACTTCAAAACACCACCTGGTGATTGTCACAATGAAGCTAAAAAAGCACTGGACAACCGGGGAAACAGCAATACAAAGGTTCAATGAAGCCTTCCTTCGAGACACTGATATACTCAACTAATTCAGGATAACTCTCAACAACATGTTCCAAGGCTTACAAGATCTACTCAAAGAAGAGGAATCTAATGTGAATGACAGTGGGGAAAGAATCAGAGAAGCACTAACTTCATCGTATCGAGAGGTTCTGGGTCGCAAGAAGCATCATCGTGAGGAATAGATCTCTATAGAAACCCCAGTCAAGATTCAAGAATTCATGATTCAAGAATTCAACAATCAAAATTACTACAGTCTCCGCAAACATTCAATCCAATTATATGTGCATATATTATTTTTTTCAAATAATTATCCTACGAAAATAGTTTTCTCGTTGTTAAATGTTCACGAAACGCACGTATGTGAGTTTAGTTTCCTTGTTTCGCCAGTTTTGTGTCTTTACGGACGTATGAATGTAATGCGACGGCTGGGAAAGATCAATGAAGAACAAAAATTTCAATGATTCAAAATTTATGTTGAACCTGTTGTTCATTACTACGTTCCACACATCGCCCCAGTTAATAAGGAAAGAAGACCAGACACTGTTGAGCATAACAAGCTCTCAGTAAAGTATTTACTAACGACAAACTCGTTGGATTCAAACTGCTGACTAGCAACGTCTTAGGGTCACAACGGCTTCACTAAAGAGGAGTGATCTGTAGCAGTAAATAAATCCCCAAAATCGATAGCGCTGTAAGTCTTCGACTTTTGATGCTGACCGAATTAATTTTAACGGACTCATCTATCTAAAGGCGCTCCGTCACGCACCCGCACCAGATCACGAGTGAGTACACGTGCTTCACATCTCCCACGACCGCTAGACAGCTAAAATTAACCAGTACTCGACATATCGGTATTCTATCAATTGTATCTTCGAATCTCTTGGCTTCTGACTTCTGATTTCACTGGGTCGGCACGTTTCATTAATAAAGGGTGTTACTGGTTAAGGTGTTGTCAAACTCCGAATACTTGTGGTATATCAGTCGTATTATGTGATCGTCAATTCATGACAATGCTTGATAACCATATCTAGAAACCAATATGAACAACTATTTACAGTGTTGATTAGGGGTTACTTACAACCATTACACGCGGTGGAGGAGAATAGGCTGCTCATCAGCATACTTCATCGAACTTTGTCTGAGCCAATCCCTCACAGTTGATACCAGTTGCAATTCTTCGCTTTGATGCCTGCTTCCGATTTTCGATGCAGTATGTCCGTTGGTCCTCCTCCTTTCCGTTTCTCTACAGGATTCTAAGTAAGCACTGGACTTGAGATTCAGTTTAATGAGTTTCTCTTTGTGTGTTCTAGTGTAAGCCCTTGCCGATGGTATTAAGCCAACGTACATTGAGTATCCTGCGTAAACACATATTAAGAAATATCTGTACGTTTTTGATGATTGCTGTAGTAGTTCTCCAGGTTTAAGCTCCGTACAGTAGAGCTGCCTTGACGTTCATATTGAAGATTGTGACGTTGATATTGGTTGAAGGTTAGTGTGAGTTCCATGTTCTTCAATTGTAAGAACAAGGCCCATGCTTTGCCAGTCCTTGCCTTTACGTCTGCATCAGATCACCCTCGTTCATCGATGATGGCGTCCAGGTAATGAAAGTTGATTTAGTTCCGCGACCCCAAAACATTAACAATCGTTTCAAATGTTAACGTGTTATCCACTTAACTATTCAACCATATCATTTACTTAAACTGTACAATAGTATTGCAGCATGTGTAATTAATCATTGTCTTAGAAGTCCCTAAAATCCCTTCTAGTCTGTCTTCTTTCAATAATTAGCAATCAGCAGTATCTACTCTCTTAGAATCTTTTTATAAGTTATTATTCAATTGTTATTGTATCATCTTTCATGTTTTCTTTTTTTAACACTTGTCAAATAGACAGTGATCTCCCCTACTTTTGATCTGCAAATTATCTCCATCTTACTACTATTCTTTAACTTCCAGATCGTTACGCAACCTTTTTTGAGACTTGAAATCGGCGAGCATTTTATGATGTAATTTCGTTTTATTCTTCTATCGACTTATTTGTGACATTCATATAAATACGATTGTACAGCTTCAATCGATAATATCGTTGAAAAGAAATGTCTTTTCGATAAATTGTTTTTACTCTTTCAACAAAATAAGGTTACTGACAACTAAACTGATATATATTGATAGGCTATATATTGATAATCTAGCTGCAGGCCCGAGCGATTATCATAAATATGTAGATGGTCTTCGTACAGAATAGTTTTCAGTCCATTCAGAGTATGAACCTACTGCCACCAAAATTGGTACAGCATAATCGATGTGTACTCAGATACAAGGATTGTTCATTTCTTTCCATGGCAGGGATTACGCTCAACGGTAGATCCCAAAACTAAATTAATTTATCCAGTCAATATCTAATAAGTTAGTATGACAGTTCCCGGGTATATAACATTTCCTGAATATTGACTTATCAACCAATTTAAGAGGTAGCTGAATTTTACCGAGAAGAGTAATATTAGTTCCTGTGGCACTCTGAGCATTATAATATGTAGGTTGATATTGTGATCGATCAAGTTTTATTCGAGCCTCTTTAGAAATTAACGTTATGACAGACCCCCTGGTCCACCATTGAAAATGACAGATACGTACTTCCTTTTAGATGAGAATTGAGCACCTTTTGTGGCTGGAACAACATTCGAGTAACGTAGTATCTCTTTTGACGTCCGGGGCTTATTTCCTTTACGGAACGTATGCTAACGGTAGGCAATCATTAGCCAACTTTTACATCATCCTTGAACACGACCATACCACATCCGAAACAAGCTTTTTTAAAATGACAAACACTATCAGACTGACACTCACCGCATCATCAAAAACATATTTTGGGTTTCATTCGCGCCAGATCACTTTTCGACTCGGCTTGGGACACAGCTCCTACGTGCACTAAGAACAAACGCTTCTCGATATATTGATAGAATATCAAATATATCTTTCCTACCTCTTCTCGTCTGACTTCTGATTTCCATTGGGCATGAAAAGCTTCGCATATAGAGGGTGCTAATGGTCGCTAGTTGTCAAACTAAAATACTAGTCGTATCTTCAGTAGTGAAGCCGACGTGATCTGGTACACCAAGCTAATAAGTTATGAGTCTGTTCCTTTTTGGAATATTATTATTCATTGTTATTCTTTATTTGATTTTTGTA